GCCTCGAACTCACAGAGATCCGCCTGCCTCTGCCTCCCAAGTGCTGGGATTAAAGGTGTGCGCCACCAACGCCCGACCTGTACACCTCTTTTTAATTGGATTATTTGGCATTTTGGAGACTAGCTTCTTGAGTTCTTTGTATATTTTAGAAATCAGCCCTCTGTCCGATGTGGCGTTGGTGAATATCTTTTCCCACTGTGGGTTGCAGTTTTGTTATGTTGACTGTGTCCTTTGCCTTACAGAAGCTTCTCAGGTTCACGAGGTCCCATTTTATTAATTGTCAATATCTGTGTCTGTGCTACTAGTGGTATTTCAGGAAGTGGTCTCTTGTACCAATTCTTTCAAGGGTACCTCCCACTTTCTGTTCTAAGAGGTTCAGTGTGGCTGGATTTATGTTGAGGTCCTTGATCCATTTGGACTTAAGTTTTGTGCATTGCAATAGATATGGATCTATCTGCAGTTTTCTACATGTCAGCACCATTTGTTGAAGATGCTTTATTGTTTCATTTTATAATTTCAAGTTGTTTGTCCAAAATCATGTGTTTGTATGTGTGTGGGTCCATATCAGGATTTTCAGTTCGATTCCATTGGTCTACCTGTCGAGTTTTGTGCCAATACCAAGCTGTTTACAGGATTATAGCTCTATAGTAGAGCTTGAAGTCAGGGTTGGTCATGTCTCTGGACATTCCTCTATTGTGCAAGGTTGTTTTGGCTATCATGGGTCTTTTGTTTTTGTGCTGGGCTTTTGATGAGGACTGAATTGAATCTGTAGATTGCCATTTTTACTATATTGATCCTAGCTATGCAAGAGCATGGGCTATCTTCCCATTTTCTGGTATCTTCTTTAATTTCTTTCTTCAAAGACTCAAAGTTCAGCCGGGCGTTGGTGGTGCACGCCTTTAATCCCAGCACTCGGGAGGCAGAGGCAGGCGGATCTCTGTGAGTTCGAGGCCAGCCTGGTCTACCAAGTGAGTTCCAGGACAGCCTCCAAAGCTACAGAGAAACCCTGTCTCGAAAAACCAAAAAAAAAAAAAAGACTCAAAGTTCTTGTAATACAGTTCTTTCACTTGTTTGCTTAGCGTTACCCCAAGACATTTTATGTTGTTTGTGACTATTGTAAAGGGGGATGTTTCTTTTATTTCTTTCTCAGCCTATTTAACTTCTGTATATAGTAGGAAAACTTTTTTTTAGTTAATCTTGTATCCTGCCACTTCGCTGAAGGTATTTATCAGCTGTAGGAGTTCCTCGGTAGAGTTTTTTGGGTCACTTATGTAAACTATCATATCATCTGTAAATAGTGAAGATTTGACTTCTTTTTTCAATTTTACCCTCTTCATCTCCTTATGTTGTCGAATTTCTCTAGCTAGAACTCAAGTACAACACTTCACTGTATGGAGAGAGTGCACAGTCTTGTCTTTTTCCTGATTTTAGAGGAAACTGGTTGAGTTTCTCTCCACTAAGTTTGATTGTCTGTCTGCTGTATATTGCTTTTATTATGTTCAGGTATGGTACTGCTATCCTGTGTCTCTCCAAGACATTTATCACAAAGGCATTTTGGATTTTGTCAGAGGCTTTTTCAGCATCTACTGAGATAATCATGTGAATTTTGTTTCTCAGTTTGTCTATATGGTAGATTACATTGATGGACTTTCATATGTTGATCCATCTCTGCATCCCTGCGATGAAGCCTACTTGATCATGGTGGATAATTTTGCTCATGCTTTCTTGGACTCGATTTGCCAGTATTTTATTGAGTATTTTTTCATTAATGTTCATGAGGAGTACATGAGTTTATCTTGAGTGTTTAAAAAAAACTATACATTTAAACTGTGTAGGGGTATTTGCCAACTAGCATGAACATTGAGGTGACTCAATATGTTGTCTTTATAGATGACCCTTTGCCCATAGTGACCTAGGTCAGCATCTATTTGACTAAATGAAAAACTCCCAGATAGGATGATGTATTCGTACATGTGTCTTTAATTGGCTGCTTTCTTAGGGGTGCAGAAAGAACCTTGTTAGGATGAACCTTTCTGGATGAAATTCTTTATTGGGGATAGGATTTGTGTGTCCATAATGTCAACTCATTTCCTATTTTGTTTATACTGCATTGTGGTTTACATTAATCAGACATATGCCTGTCATGACTTTGCCACCATGATAGATAGCATCACAAAATCACCTTAGTTAGATACAAGTGAGGCAATTGTTATTCAATGATAAGACATTTTGCTTGTGCATTTTTTTAACCTTTGGCTGGTTTTTTTTTTTTTTTTGGTTTTTCGAGACAGGGTTTCTCTGGCTTTGGAGGCTGTCCTGGGACTCGCTTGGTAGTCCAGGCTGGTCTCGAACTCGCAGAGATCCGCCTGCCTCTGCCTCCTGAGTGCTGGGATTAAAGGCATGCGCCACCAATGCCCAGCTCTTTGGCTGATTTTAATTTTGTTTCTGAACAGAAACATTTTCTCAATAACCCCAAAACTCTCTTTATAGACCAAGCAGACCTTGAATTCAGTAATGCATGTGACTTCCTGTACCAAGTGTTGGGGTTCATGGTGCGCCAATGTTTTTGTGAGTGTTTATCCTTATTAGTGGGTAATGGGTCTATAGAGCAAGTTTTTGTACACCTCAGGCATATGTTTTTTGCTGAGCTTCACCCACACTGTGTGTTGGGACTGAAGGCATGAGTCAATATACCCAGCTTGCCCAACTTTTTTTTTTTTTTGGTTTTTCGATACAGGGTTTTTCTGTGGCTTTGGAGGCTGTCCTGGAACTCGCTTGGTAGTCCAGGCTGCTCTCGAACTCAATGAGATCAGCCTGCCTCTGCCTCCCGAGTGCTGGGATTAAAGGCATGCACCACCAATGTCTGTCTGTTTGCTCAACATTTTATAGTAATTATTCACACAATTTCTCTGATGTAGACTCAGTCTGTTGATTTGTTTCCATGTCTCTCTGTGTCTGTTAATAGGCATTTCTCTTGCAATGTAATATCCCATTCAGAGCATTCAAAAATGATAGAGGTAAAAGCCCATCAGGCTCCTTCTAGAGTGACTTAAGTTTAAATAGAATACCCGTGTCATAGAGTAAGTATGGGAAAGTGCATCATTATATGCGTATACTGTCTATGAAGTATACATGTACAGTGCTGTCTTTATCATGCTATTTTATATATGTATGGCATATTGTAGGGTGCTGTAACCTATCAAGATTTGCATATCAACTTCACTCAGGAAGAGTGGGCTTTGCTGGATCCTTCGCAGAAGAACCTCTACAAAGATGTGATGCTAGAGACCTATATGAACCTCCATGTGATAGGTAATTCTTTGGATTTTCTTTCACTCTTTAGAAAGTGGACAACTGTTTCTGAGTTGTCCACTTTTGTATCTTTGAGTGATAAGGAAGAAGACTGAGGAAAAAAGTCAGTCATGTTTCTAACGATCACTGAAGATTGTCAGTTAATTTCTAAGCTATTTTTAATATTGTATCATACATCTCTTGGTGCTATATTTTAGGCTACAAATGGGAAGATGATAATATCGAAGAACATTGTCAAAGTCCTCAAAGACATGGAAGGTAATTTGCATGTGTATGCAGATATAAATTTGCCTGTGAAGATACTTTAATGTATACGGAAGTTGCAAAGAAAAGTGCATTGATTATCATTAAATTGTCATGAGATCATGTACTTCAGCAGTTGGTAAGTGAATTATATTTGCAAGTCCCCTTAGAGGAAAGAAGACAATATTTGAATGCCTTAACATACATTTGAGTCATAGCTCCATCAGAGGTGTGCTGATGAGAATTGCTAATCCATGTACCTTCAAAACACTCATTTTACAGAAGGTATGCATATTGAAAAGGTGATAAGTCTACTTCCAACAACTTCTTGTTAGCAACTGTCTCACAGTAAAGCTAGTGTTACTCATATAGATGTTCTGATTTTGCTAAGTACAGTGAGATTAGATAGTTAGAATCATGATTTGGGGGAGTGTTTATGTAAATCCTTGTCCCCTATACCTTATATCCATGAGGAATATAAAGACAATCTGTGTGATTGCAGTGTGGAAAGCTTTTTATTTCTTAGTCTTCCTTTAGTAAGTATATCTTATGTCACTCAGAATACAATCCATATGAGCATAGGGACATGAAGGGGAAAGTACTTCTCTTCATCTCAGAAAAATCAGAAGATAAATAGTAGTCTGCATGTTGAGCAGATTTGTTGAACATGATGCAAGTTTACAAGTGCTTGGTTTTCCAGCTTCTTTGGGAATACATCAACATCATTATACTGCTGAAAAGACCTATGTGTACAAGCAATGTGTAAATATTTCCAGTTGTCTTTGTTTATTTTGTAAATGTAGTTTGAGTCACAATAGAGAAAAATTTATGAATGCAAACAGTGGGTTAAGTGTATGAATTCTTTCAGTTCTCTTGAAATATGAGAAAAATCTCATACACAAAAAGCTGCCATAAAAGTGAAACAGAATACAGGTTCTTAGAATGACAGGCATTTGAAATAGTGAAACAATACCTAATGAAGGGTTATACCATGAAAATAGATAAAGTGAAATGAGCTTAATATCTGATTAGTTTTTAAAATTAGAACAAATTGTAGAGTTAATTCATAGTTATAAATATTCACTGTTTTTTTCCATTTTTTAAATCTTGATTTCATTTTACATTCTAACCATAGTTCTACCGCCCAGCCCTCCTCTTGTCCCCTTGCCTCCTCCCACTCCCTCTCTCCCCCTAGTACATCCTCAGTCCACTCCTCCTCAGCGGTTGTGAATGTAGTAAAGCTTTTATATGTGTCAATTATCCTTGCAGGCATGAAAGAACTCCTACCAGAGAGAAATCTTCTACACACATTCAGTGTCATAAATTCTCTGTATATGACAATCAGCTTCCAAGTCATGAAAGAACACTGACTGGAAAGAAACTCCATGAATGTAACCAATGTGGTAAAGCCTTTAATTGGCACAGTGTTCTTCAAATACATAGAAGAACACATACTGGAGAGAAGCCCTATGAATGTACTCATTGTGGTAAAGCCTTCGCTTGGCGCAAGGATCTTCAAGAGCATGAAAGAACACATACGGGAGAAAAGCCCTATGAATGTACTCAGTGTGGTAAAGCCTTTACTCGGAGAAGGCAGCTGCAACTGCATAGAAGAACACATACTGGAGAGAAACCCTATCAATGTAATCAGTGTGGCAAAGCCTTTGCTCGGCACAGTTATCTTCAAATGCATAACAGATCACATACTGGAATGAAATCCTATGAATGTGATCAGTGTGGTAAACACTTCACATGTCAAAGTTCTGTTCAAATACATAAAAGAACACATACTGGAGAGAAGCCCTATGAATGTCATCAGTGTGGTAAAGCCTTCGCTTGGCACAGTACTCTTAAAGTACATAAAAGAACACATACTGGAGAGAAACCCTATGAATGTCATCAGTGTGGCAAAGCCTTTGCTTGGCACAGTTATCTTCAAATGCATAACAGATCACATACTGGAATGAAATCCTATGAATGTGATCAGTGTGGTAAACACTTCACACGTCAAAGTTCTGTTCAAATACATAAAAGAACACATACTGGAGAGAAACCCTATGAATGTAATCAGTGCGGTAAAGCCTTTGCTGAGCACCGTTCTCTTCAAGTGCATAAAAGAACACATACTGGAGTGAAATCCTATGAATGTAATCAGTGTGGTAAAGCCTTTGCTCAGGACAGTCATCTTCAAAGACATAGAAGAACACATACTGGGGAGAAGCCCTATGAATGTACTCAGTGCGGTAAATCCTTCACATCTCAAAATACTCTTCAAACACATAGAAGAACACATACTGGGGAGAAGCCCTATGAATGTTCTCAGTGTGGTAAAGCATTTGCTCAGCACAGTAATCTTCAAGTACATAGAAGAACACATACTGGAGAGAAACCTTATGAATGTAATCAGTGCGGTAAAGCCTTTGCTCGGGACAGTCATCTTCAAAGACATAGAAGAACACATACTGGAGAGAAACCCTATGAATGTAATCAGTGCGGTAAAGCCTTTGCTGAGCACCGTTCTCTTCAAGTACATAGAAGAACACATACTGGAGAGAAACCCTATGAATGTAATCAGTGTGGTAGAGCCTTTGCTCAGGACAATCATCTTCAAAGACATAGAAGAACACATACTTGGTAGAAACCCTATGAATGTAATCAGTGTGGCAAAGCCTTCACACATCACTGTAATTTTAAAACGCATACAAGAACACATCAGTAGTGAGAAACCATATCAACCTTTTTGGTGTGGTAAAGTCTTTGCTCAGCAGAAAAGAAATACAGAAAAGAAATCAAACTGGAGAAAAGCCCTATTGATGGCAGAATTCTGTTTTTTTTTTAATGAAATCACAGAGTCAGCTCTCAGGCTAAATTCTGATAGATCTGTAAAGCAGTATAACCAATCTCTTGTTCTTACTTCGACAAAATCCTCAGAACAAATGAACTAGAGACAGTGCAAGAAACACCTCTTCTCTGAAACAAGAGAGAAAGGGTTAAAAAGGGACAGTGAAAGAAACAGATTGTGTGGCCTAAACCACTGCCAAAGAAACACTCTATCCTTGGCCAACTGAGTATTAAACCTAGAAATCCCTGAACTCAAAACCACCCAGTCTCTGAGCACAAAAACCAGGCATTGTCTGAACATGTTCCAGCTTAAGGATTGAAATATAACCAATCCCAACTGGAAATCTCCCTGGAAAAACTGTCCCTAAAAAGCCCTCTATTAGGTCAATAGTTTTTCAGTTGGCAGTTGTCACATCAAGTCCAGTAGACTCTGTGTTACAAGTTCCAAAGACTGAGGTTGTAACTCCAAAAAAAGGACGTCTCCTGAAACTGGTTGTGAAACTCTCAGGTGGAGTAAAATATTCGGCCGTGGTTCATATGATATTTTCTGTTTTTTCTTCTATTCCCTTTTCATATTAAATGTTCCTATAATCTTGTGCTGACATTTTAAACAAAAGAAATAGATAAGAAACCATACCATGAGATGGGGTCACTAGCCATGGCATCATCTCTGTAAAAACAAGAGCTTTCCAGATCATTCACCTCATTCACATAAGTACAAACAGTAATAACATTCCCAACAAAAAATTGCATATAGTTTTTCCATATAAAGTTGATTATTGTTCTTTCAAGGTCTGTGAATTGTGCCGGAATTTTGATAAGGATTGCATTGAATCTCTAGACTGCTTTTGGCAAGATTGCCATTTTTATTATGTTGATCCTACCAATCCAAGAGTATTAGAGATCTTTGCATTTTCTGGTATCCTCTTTGATTTCTTTCTTTAAAGTGTCAAAGTTCTTGATATACAAGTCTTTCACTTCCTTGGTTAACATATCCCCGGATATTTGATGCTGTTTATGGCTATTGTAAAGGGTGATGTTTCTCTGATTTTTTTCTCAGCCACTTCATCTGTATATAATAGGGCCCCTGATTTCTTTTGAGTTAACCTTGTATCCTGCCACTTTGCTGAAGGTGTTTATCAGCTCTAGGAGTTCCGTTGTGGAGTTTTTCAGGTCACTTATATAAACTATCATATCATCTGTAAATAGTGAAGTTCGACTTCTTCCTTTCCAATTTGTGTCCCCTTGATATCCCTTTGTTGTCTTATTGGTCTAGCTAGAACTTTCAGTACAGTATTGAAGACAAATGGAGAGAGTGGACAGCCTTGTCTTGTTCTTGATTTAAGAGGAATTGTGTTGAGTTTCTCTCCATTTAGTTTGATGTGAGCTGTTGGTTTACTGTATATAGACCAATGGAATTGCATTGGAAACCTTGATATTAACCCACACACATACGAAAACTTGATTTTTGACAGACGCTAAAGGTATACAATGAAAAAAAAAGTACCTTCAACAAATGGTGCTGGCATAGCTGGATGCGGACATGTAGAAGACTGCAGATAGATCCATGTCTATTGCCATGCACAAAACATAAATCTGAATAGATCAAAGAACTAAACATAAATCCAGTCACACTGAACCTCTTAGAAGAGAAAGTGGGCAGTGTTTTTGAATGAAGTCGTACAGGAGACTGCTTCCTGAACATAATACCAGTTGCACAGACTCTGATATGGACAATTAATAAATTGGACCTTGCAGGGCAGCGATGGTGTAAGCCTTTAATCCCAACCCTCAGGAGGCAGAGGCAGGTGGATCTCTGTGAGTAAGAGACCAACCTGGTCTACAAGAAGTAGTTGTAGGGCCACTCCAAAGTCACAGAGAAACCCTATCTCAAAAAAAAGCTAATAAAATAAAATAAATGGGATCTCCTGAAAATCAGTAGATTCTGTAAATCAGAGAACACAGTCAACAAGGCAAAATGGCAGCCCACAATATGGGAAAAGATCTTCACCAACCCCACATCTGATGGGGCATATTTCTGAAATACACAATGAACTCAAGAAACTAGTCACCAAAACACTGAATAATCCAATTAAAAAGTGGGGTATGGGCCTAAGTAGAATTCTCAATATAGTCTCAGTAGAGGAATCTAAAATGGATAAAAGGCACTTTAGAAACTGCTCGACATCCTTAGACATCAGGGAAATGCAAATCAAAACAACTCTGAGATGCCATCTTATACCTGTCAGTATGGCTAAAATATAAAACACCAACCAGGGCTGGACAGAAGGCTCAGTGGTTAAGAGCACTGACTGTTCTTCCAGAGGACCTGAGTTCAATTCCCAAAAACCACATGGTGGCTCACAACCACCTTGAATGCGATCTGGTGCCCTCTGCTGGCATGCAGGCAGAAGACTGTATACACAATAAATAAATAAATAGATAGATAAATAAATAAACAAAAACAACAACCATAGTTCATGGTGGATAGGATTTGGAGAAAGGGGAACACTCCTCCACTGCTGTTGGGAGGGCAAACTAGTACAGCCAATTTGGAAATCACTAGGTGTTCCTCAGAAAATTGGGGATCAGTCTACCACAACATCTAGCAATTCTACCCTTAGGCATATACACAAAGGATGCACATTCATACAACAAGGACGTCTGTTCAACTATGTTCATAGCATTATTTGCAGTAGCCAGAACCTGGGAGTCATCTAGATGTCCTTCAACTGAAGAATGGATAAAGAAAATGAGGTATATTTACATAATGGAGTATTACTGAGTGGAAAAAAAAAACAATGGACTCTTGAAATTCATAGGCAAATGTATGGAACTAGAAGAAACCATGGTTCGTGAGATAATGTAGTCACAAAAAGACAAACATGGTATGTACTCACTCTTATATGGATATTATACATTACCAGCCTACAAGCCACACCTGCAGGGAAGCTAAGAAAGAAGGACCCTAAGAGAGATATACATGGTCTTCCAGAGAAGGGGAAAGGGACGTGATCTCCTGAGCAAATTGGGAGCATTGGGGGTAGAGAAGAGGGAGTTAGGAGAAAGAGGAGTTAGGAGAGGAGTGGTGGGGGAGGGGGAGACATGAGGGACCAGGAAGATTGGGTCAGGGGAGAGCAAGAAAAGGGATATCTTACTAGAGGTAGCCATTATAGGTTTAAAGCAAAATCTGGCACTAGGCTAATGTCCAGAGACAAACTTGGATGCCCTCAACTAAGAATCTAAGCAATAGGGGACAGGCTATCTTAAATGCCCTTCCCCTGTAATGAGATTGATAAGCACCTTATATGCCATCATAGAGACTTCATCCAGTAGCTGATGGAAACAAAAATAGAGACCCACAGCTAAGCACTGAGCTGAATTCCTGGAATCCAGTTGTAGATAGGAATGTTGAGCAGTTGGGTCAAGACAATGCTGGGGAAACCCACAGAAACAACTGACCTGAACTAGGGGGAGCTTATGGACCCCAGACTGACATCTTGGAAACCAGTATAGGACAGAACCAAGCCCCCTACATATGGGAGTCAGTTAGGAAGCCTTTGAAACCTATGGGGCCCCTGGTAATGGAACACCATTTATACGTAGTATATGAATGAACATTGTAAGCTTAATCCCCATAGAGGGATATTCTCTCAGCCTAGATACAGAGGAGGGCCTTAGGCCCACCCCAAATGATGTGACCAACTTTGATGATCTCCCATAGAAGGCCTCATCTTTCCATGGAGCAGAAGAGGGTTGGGATGGGGATTGGTGGGGGACATGGGAGAATGGGAGGGAGAGGGAACTAGGATTGATAGATAAAATAAGACTTTCCAATTTAAGTTTTTAAAAAAAGGAAAAAAGATTCGAGGATGGTATAATCTCAGTAGTAGCTTTCAGTAACTTAATTTTTATTTAAAATATTTATTTCCTTATGCATTCTTAGTTTCTGCATATATGAACACAGATATATGAAAATGATTATTTTCAAACATTAAGCTAGGTTTTCTTTTGTATTCACTAAAGCTGATTAAAGAGTTTTACACAATATAATCCTAACTATATCTGTTTGGAAACCATCAGATTCACTTGAAATTCTATCAGAAAATATGCATTTCCTAAGCCACATTTCCAGTCCTTTTAGTTTTAATTAATTCAAGAGTCTGGGCATGTTTGTTAAGAGTGGGAACACTTCTTTTGTATCATTGTCTTACAAGACTGGTTATTTGGAGGCAGGCTGTCTCAGAGTTTTTTACAGTTCTGCATTTTCAAAGAATACTGTTTGCAATGTGTGAAGATTTTATTCTGTTTGCAGTGCATTTTCAGCAAGCCAATTAATCCTTAAGGTTGTACTTTGTGACTGAGCATCCATTCAGATGAACTGCTACATAGCTGTTTCCTCTAAGATGAGGCATCCTCTCCTTGGGAGAGCAAGGCTCTTCTGCAATGAAGCTTCTGAAAGTTGAAATAGTAACAAGGCATCTCTTCATAGTTCCATAAGTGGTAACATTGCTTGGGAGAGAAGGCTAGGTGGACTAGCTGCCATCAAATGAGGCAAGGAGTTCCAAGGATGCCAGCTTCATCATGAATAATATATAGTTGTTTCTGTAAGGGGCACCTGTGAGTCAACAGTTCACTTACATTACTGTAAGTAATGTCAATATAGTCATGAGCTCAATACCTGAGGCTTAGATGGGCTTGATCTTCTACTGTATCATCAGTGCCATAGCTTGGGTAAACAGATACAGGTGTTTATGTCTCCCAATGAACATATGACATAGAATACCATTATGATATTCTTATACATGTAAGGGTGTATATATATATATATGTATATGTGTACTTAAGAGAATCAATTAACATTCATGTTATTCATGAGTGTGTGTTACACATAGACACACATATGAAATGTATGAATGATATGGAAACAAGGTGCAAGAGACAATATATAAACATAATTTGTAATGCTTGGACAGTTTTGTTTTGTGCTGTGTTTTGTTTTTTTTGAGACAGGGTTTCTCTGTGGCTTTGGAGGCTGTCCTGGAACTTGCTTGGTAGTCCAGGCTGGTCTCTAACTTACAGAGATCTGCCTGCCTCTACCTCGCGAGTGCTGGGATTAAAGGCGTGCACCACCAACGCCCGGCAGCTTGGACAGTTTTTATCTGTATACTTGATAATATAATTTAAGCCATGACTCATGTTATCTAAATTAATGACAGTCTGTGTAAAATTAATTGATTATCTCAATAACAATGAAATCAGAATGACTGTGAATGCTGTTTTAAAATTTTAAAAATATTTTCTAGACCAGTTCATCAATTATAGAAAAATTGAACTTGTAGAATTGAAAATACTAAAATACTCCTGCTTCTCACAGACTTGTCTCCAAGGTAATGTTTTGGGCTAAAGTTATGCTGGTTTATTTTTCTAATAATGAACTAGTGCGGAGAGATTATTAAGACAACTCTATTATATAAATTGGGGTTTAGACTTAGTGCCTTGCAGGCTGATGCTTGGGCAGTACAGGATTTTTTGT